TCCACATTCTAAGTGACCCTGCAGCACCATGAGGAGGAGTACATAGCGATGTGGTGAAGCTGGAGTGTCTGAACTGGATTCCATCTTCCACAAACACAGCTTTCAAACAGCTTTTTATAATATGAAGTCATACATACATGAAGCCCCGAATTTTAGCAGACTCAAATGGGAAGGAACTTTATGCAAGTTCTACCTCAATCTGAGGAAAACCCTAAGATTCATAGTTTTGGGGAAGACAGGAACATAAATGCATCAGAATGAAGAGCTCCAACATAAAGTACCTAAGGGCAACTGGAACATACCCTAGATATTCCCTTTTGATATCTCAGCCTTTGGGATCTACCACAGAAGAAGCATGGGCAAACGAAGTCTGCAAAACTTACTGTTCAAAGGAAAAAAAGTATGAACCACTTTGTCTCATCTGATGAAGTCCATTCATGAACAATAAACAATATCTTCTCATATGCTATAAGTCTCACAGCAGCAAGCCCAAGAGAACAAAAATGAAGATCTTGTCCCTCAACATTTAGCTCTCCAAGTCTAGGGAGGTGTTCAGTTTACAGTGTTCACTTTAGAGAACTGGTTATGTTGGGGGGTGGATAAGGAGAAAGGGAGTAGGCAACTTCAGTCAGTCAGTCAAACTCTTCACACAGAAACCCTCCCACTGGAGTTACTAGTTTATGACAGGGATCCTGTGAGCTGATGCCAGAAAAGTCTGAGGTAATTGTAAACAGTAAATGGTACAGTCCTAACAATACAGGAATTCTTAATTTAAAAGCCACTTACTGGGTTCTTCCAGTAAATAGACCTCTTCTCATCCTTCTCCTGCAAAAGAAGAAAGACCAGAGAGGTAGTATAGCAAATTCATTCTGTATAACTGGAAGGTTTTCAAAGACCTCCAAGTCTCTGAGATACAAAAAGTTTACAAAGGTCTTTATGAATCTCATCCCAAAGAAGAAAATGGCCCTGCACAAGGACACCAAACAGCTCTCATTCAATATATCCTTGTTTTCTTCTTGATTTGAAGGATTAGTCATTTAGAGCAGTAACTCTCCAGCCCCACAGGCCAGACGAATGGTGCAGAGTTGGTTGGTGGGCCAGATCCCATGAAGGGTCAGCATGTGGGGTCAGTCTGTGGGTTCAATCCCGCATGCCAGCCCAACCCTGCACTGACCCAAGCCCATTTATCTGGATCAAGCAGTGTGCTGGCAACTGGTGCAATCTGGCATGCAGGGCCACATTATCCAGCTTGCAGGACTCCCCTTGAGTCCAGAAATTTGGCAGCAGGGACGAGGCCACTGGTCTGCTGCTGCTGCCAAGTTTATGGACCCTTGGGAAGCCACATGGGCCAAAAGACAGTTCCATGGGCCAGACCTGGCCCACAGGCCAGGGGTTGAGTACCCATGATTTAGAACAAGAGCATAAAACCATTCCTTCAAGCATAAATGCATGTGCTAAAAAACTTAAATTACAGATACAGGGTCACCTGCTGTAAGTAGTGCCAAATACAATGTCCCTATTGCCCACCCTCACTTTAAGTCAGCTACCTGTTGAACCCAAGCCTGGGAGAAAAAGAAAAAAAAAAAAAAAACTCCGGAAGGTCCGAACACAGGATGGCTTCATGCTATATGCAGTCCTGACAGCAGCAGGGGTTTCTGTATCTACCAGAGCTAAGCACAAAGGCAGGATTGCACAGCTAGGACTAGGACAAGCACTAGAGTCCAAGTGGACTTTTCAGTGCCTGTTCTGCAAGAGGAAAACAACCATGGTGAAATTCTGATTTAAAGCAAGAAGGATAAGGAATCTCTCCAGCACCCACCTCGTGGTGTCTGGATGCTGTGTGGCTTTCAAAACTATATGTGTATCCCACAATGTCTCCTTCTTTACTCTTAGGCATTCCCATTTACTGCACCCTCATCCTTTCTGTGACCAACTCCTGGGCCTTTTCCCACTATGCTGTGCCTCTTCTTTCTCTCTTGGGAGTCAGGATTGCACATATCCAAAGGGGAGCCTCTCCAGATACGAAGGAACACCTGGAGAGTCTATTTAGAGGGGGAGGTAACTGCATATATAGGCATACTGGGGGAGCAATGAAGACCTATTTCTATCATTATAGACCACAGCCAGGTGACCACAGCATTGAAACTATGAAGGCGTATTCTGAACATGTAGCTGTTACAGCTATGAAGAGAGGAAATATCATCCTTGTTCCATTTCAGTCTCCTCTGCCCCTTCCCAGAAGGCATCTCCCTGATCTAACGTGCAGTCTCCTACCTGTCCTGAAAGAGCCGTGTGGCTAGCATATAATTCATTGTTGTCTTGTGCTCCAAGAAGGATCTAGAAAGGCCCAAACAGAAGACTACTTAAAGCTCAGACAAACACAATGAACAAGTAAAATAGCATGAATAGAGGGAAGTCATCCATAAAATATATATATCCTTAATACAAAGAAACTGATAGCCTACTTCATCTTGATAAATATCTTATAACTCCAGCACAATGCACCAAGGAGATACTTGCTGGAGACTTCTTACCCATAGAGGTCCCACGTTAATGAGGAAGGGAATATCCGGATGAAACCGCCTCTCCGCTCATTCTCTTCCTTCACTCGACGCAGAACTTTTATCTGGGATGAGAAAGAGAAACAAAAACCAGGTAATGCAGACAGATATTAGCACTAGAAAATCAGCTTTGTGGCAAGGCCTGGTTTCTAGAAGATGTCTGCCATTAGCCCTGCAGTCATGGGGGCAGCTGGCTTAAATAGGTGATGGTTAAATAAGATACGTTGGTTAGATACAAGATCTGAAGCATCTTATTGCTCTTCAGTGAGTATATACACGCTTACTGTAGCTAAGAGCAAAAGCCCCCAAGGGACTGTGCCACTCTTGGCAGTTTTACTGAAAATTAACAATCTAAGCAGTATCCCTAATCACTTCCATTTGTCCCACTGGGGCCAGACTGCCGATTCCAAAATCAGCAGAAGTATGGCAGCAGTGGCAGCAGCAGTTAATCCAAAATTACTCTGAAAAGTTAAGCTACTTGTGTTCCCTTCTTTCCCGGATACTGTCCCACAGCCAAGATGCATACGAAATGAGTAATAGGACTCTTACCTCCTCCATGGACAGACCCAACATGGAGCTGCCTTGCTTTCCCCCTACTTTTTCCCTGCCTGAGGGCATCAGGCTTTTTATCTCAACATCACTGGCAGACAGAGGACGAGTATGCTGTAGAGACAGTAAAATCTAGATTTTACTCTTTTCCTTTCTCTTCACTTACTCAAAAAAAAGAAAGAAAGAATTCAAATTCCAACTCCATCCCCAGCACACACTACTCTCCTGGGCATCGCAGCCAGGATTCACACTCCTAGGCTCCAATTATAGCAGGATCCACACCTCTGGGCACTAGTGTTAGAATTCATGTTCCCAGTTTTCAAACACAGTAGCCTAGACATTATTGCCAGTATTCACACCCCTAGCCCCTGCAAGAAAAAGTATGACACATACACAAAAGGTCCCAAAGCCAGGATTCACACTTCCAGCCCAGAGCACAGATGAATCTACATGCAAAGGGTGGTAGGGACAGGATTCATGCTCATGGCCCCCATCCACAGAAGCACCCCCTACCCCCCCCCCCACACACACCA